TGCAACACCCTTACCTATTTCCTGCGCCGCTAGTGTGGATATTTTTTTTAAACTTGTTTTGGTGGTATTGTGGGCTGTAGTTTAAGCCCTTGGATAATTCTGTTTTTTTTTTGCTACTGTGGGCTGTTTCACCAGCCGCTGGATAATCTCTTTACCTTTTCTGCTTTACTGTTATCTATGTTTATAATCCCTCTTTGCTGATGACAAAAAGGGGGAGAAAAAGCCTATGTTATTTTGCCGATGTTATGTGTGTGTGTACAGGTACAAGTCGACAATGTGTCTATATGTGTATATGTACAGGTCGACTGCACACATTTTATATGTGTATAGGTAGCATATATTGTATACTGTATAGGTACGAGTCGGTACAAGTCGATTGCACACATTGAGGGGGAGAGTCATGGACCGGTCAAGTCGACTGCACACATTAAGGGGGAGTCATGCGTACATACATTGAGGGGGAGTCAAGTTGACTGGTAAAACACAGGGAAGTCAACTGGTGTTTACTTCTTCACCTTATTTATTATTTTGCCATCATTAAAAAGGGGGAGATTGCTAGATCATGTTTTAATGATACAAATAATATACATGTGCAGGAAATCAAGTTCAAGAAGTAAAGAAGACTGCTGGAATGGTTCATGATGTACAAAGAAAGAAATCAATCAGCATGTGATCAGCAAATCTGGATTGGTCTCGTAAATCTGGGCGCAATCGAATCAACGAATCAATCAGCAATAACAATGATTAGCTGAGCTGGAGAAAATCAAATAAGCCTTGGACAAAGGCACGAATCATGGGCAGAATCACGGAAGACTAAAGGATACGAGGAGATCTGGGAAGCGACCACATTTGGAAGATCCAACAATCAAGGAGAAATCAAGTGAAGCAATCCTCTGCTGAAGGAAAGTAATCAAGAGAAGCAACGGCTCATTCCTTATTCTTGGAAAGAATCAATTCTTTCCAAGGATCAAATCTCTTGGGTTGTCAAGACTCTACCATCCATCAAAGTATTTATACTCCTTTGTAAACCCTAGCTCAGACATACTTTGATCAAACCAAATCACTCTCTTTATTCTACTGCAAACAAGCATTGTAGTTCACTAAGATCTGCTGTATAACAAGTCAGGGATAGAAAGAGAGCACACAACTGGTGAGGCATTGTATCAAAAACGAGTGCTAGAGAAACTGAGCGATATACACCACATCTGTACTCGGAAGAAACTCATTTACTGAAGAGAATTCCCTTGCAACCCAAGTGGACTGGTTTAGGATTCATATTGAATCCGAACCAGTATAAAAATTCCGGTGTTTTTAATTCCTGCAATTATTTTCTGCATTTTACTTTCTGTTACCATATCTGCTAAATTATCATATTCAGCCGACTACCCTAGTTATAAGTCAACTTATAAGCAATTAATTCGAAGTATTTACAATTCCCCCCCCCCCCCCCTTTACTTTCATAATGATTGTTAATTGTTCCATGAACTTCCTTCATGATTCAATTCTGGATTTAAGGTATGTATTTTATCGTATTTTTCTCTTTTATTCTATAATTTGATTTTCAATATAAGCAAAGATATCAAATTTTGATTATAACTATAATGGAGTTAGTAAGAATTTATAACCACTCGAAGTGGTAAAATTTCTATGCCTTGCCATGATCAAAGTCATGTATGATCGTGAGCGCAAGAAGTGAAAATCCGTCCCATTGAATTTGCTTCATTCTCGTTCCCTTAAGAGAATGTGGTAGCAATATGTAATAAGTTTGAAAGAAGATAAAATTATTACCGTGAAGGTATCAATGGATGTAGACGTGGCAATAGACAAAATTATAATCGTCATCATTGTGGTAATGAAAATAATAAGGATTCTCAAAATAATCCTTCACTTTGTAAAAGTCACAATGTTGACATAAAATTTTGTAAAGCACATATAAATGATTATGGTCCATTCATGATGTGAATGTGACAACATGTGATTCATGAATACATATTCATTTTTGGAAGAATATGAGCGTGTTAGTGGTATATACCACACTCACCTCTAGAAGGAGGTTTGAGAGCAAATAAGAAAATAATGTCATTATTATGGCGTAAATGGTCATTGGTCACGTACTTATTGTACGCCAAAATATTTTGGCATTATGATTATTAAAAGACAACGCTAATGCAAGAAACAAATCTTGCATATAATTTTGACCATAACCATAATGGTATAACTTTCTCTTTAAAAGAGATATTCACCATATAGATATATTCTGATTAACACTATAACGCACAAATGCGGGTTTCAAAAGTTGAGGAATCAAGTTAGTTTTTCTAACACGAGGGGGAGACATGATAAACAATTAAAAAAAAGTTACGGAATGAATTATTATTTGTACATCTAGATCATCGAATAAAATAATATGAACTTGAAGTTCATAAAAAGATAATTCATTTGCAATATATTACAAAGCATGCCATACGCATTTGCTGATCTAAAGAAAGTAACTATATTCTCACTGCAAATGCTCATATTAGAATAAGTCCTAGAAGGACAAAATTTATTGTACGCTTAAAGCATATGGACAGATCTGTTTCAAATAAACTTCTTGATAAAGAAGATGAGCAAATGATCAAAATGATCATAATAAAGGAGGCAAGTGATCTAGAAGATCACATGACATAAAACTTCATAAAATCTCAGGAGAGGTTTAGGTACCTGAAAATATGAAGGAAGAGATCTTTATGTTATGTCTTTATGAAAAAATGTTGGAATCAATATAAAATGTTCGTCGATAACCACTATGATAACACTAAGTATAGATGAGGATCTTAAGTCTGTCGAATACAGATAAAAAAATATTGGCCAAATGGAAGAGACAAAATTCGAATAGAATTGGTTTCATATGAAAGACATGTAGTTTTGGATATATAGTTCAAACACTTGAAAGTATAAAGTCAATGGTGTGTGCAATCACCTTTATCTATCTTATTTGTCTAGCATGACATGAAAACTTGATATGTATCTAAAGTCTATTATATGGCTTATATGACTTAACTTATATGACAATCCTTGAAGGATTTAAATCGCTTAAAGCATATACAATTCTTGGTCCTGAAGTACCATATCCTAAGTGCAATTTGTGCACATATGTATCTTGCTATAACTATAAGCATGATAATATGATAGCAAAATCTATATGGAGATATTGAAAAGGCCATTCCACGATATTATATGAAGACATTACATATCTATGAAGAATGATGATTTCAAGGTGCAATATATTCATTCAAGTTAATATGACTGATTTGTTTATCAAATCTTTACCACGATCTTTTGAAGATGGTGCACAAGATCGGAATGCGAAGGCTCAAGGATGTGAATTGATGCTCTTATCAGGGGAGTTAATACGCGTTGTACTCTTTTTTCGTTACAAGGTTTTGTTCCACTGGATTTCCTTGCAAGGTTTTTAACGAGGCAACCAAAAGGCATATTGTTAAATATGTGTACTTTTTTTCCTTCTCTAGAATTTTTTTCCCATTGAGTTTTATTTTAGTTAAGGTTTTAACCAGGCACATTATATAGTAAATAGACATTCAAGGGAAGTGTTATAAATAGAATTGTATTTAAGGTGAATGTCTATATTTTAGAGAGATTCTAGGGTTTGTTACTTGGTGGCTAAGTCACTTTTCCCCTATAAATAGAGGAGTTATGTTCTATTGTAATTGATCACAAATCAATAAGAATTCTGTCTCTCTACTTTTCTCTGCAATATTCTTCTTCTTTTATTGTTTCATAACATAAAGCGCATATTATAAATATATATTGCATAGTAATTTATATTCCGTGTATCAAACTCAACATCTAAGGAGAAAATAATTCATATCAATTTCTGCATTACTAATTTTTGTACAACTTGTCTTTAAATCAAATGCTCTTCAAAGTCGAAAAGGTGATTACATGTAATCATACCAATTAATGAGTAAATTACTAAGCAATGTAAGTAAATATCGTTTGGATAATATTCTTTCTAGTTCTTTACCATTCAAATCCTAACTTAAATACGAAAGTAGAAAGGACACGTACGACGTAACTGGCCTTGTATTTGCCGAAATATGCGCATAAGACATCGTTTGATAGCCGCCAAACCAACAAGATTTGGACAGGTTTAAAAACATTAAACTAAAACTAAAACTACCACCACCTATGAGTCTATAGCCATACATTTCCAAACACGTCTCTTCACCTGTGACTTTTGTCACTCTTTTCTTCCTAACCCCTTTCCACACGTCTCTCTTCCAAACACTGAAGGGATGAGGGCCCCATTAGTTATGCCAAATTTATAATACAAGGATTATTTAAACGAATAATAAAGAATTGATTATTTTGCGATGGTTAATAGTAGTATAAAGATATGTAATAATGATAGAAATGTTATGTATGAACGACTTACTCTAACGATATTTTTAAAAAGTAACTTACTCCCATATTGGAAATATATGTACTTTTAATTTCCGCTCTATTTAGCATAAAGTAATATATAAATTTTCAAAAAGTTTGAATTTTTTTTCTTACAACAGCAACCTGCCGGAGTTATTTTTATCTAATCTAATCAAAGGTATGAAGGGAACCTTAGAGTAGTAAAGCAGGTCACAAGTTCGAGCCATGAAAATAGCTATTAATGCTTAGGTTAGATTGTCAACATTACACCTCTTGGGGTGCGATCTTTTTTAAATTTTGGGTGAACACAAAATACCTTGTGCACCTGAACTGCCCTCGGCGTGTAATCAAAGGTATGCTATATAGTTTATGCAAGATTTTATGTTGGAATTATCATCTGTTACCAACAGTTTCTCCTCCAAGCATTTAACAACAGGTGGATTCTAGGGGGCCCCACTGCAAAGAATTTGAGTTATTGAAAATACACCTACTGTATGGTGTGAATCACACCTATACATGTAATGTACAAAAAAACCAACTACCTAGCCAAAGCAAGCTGTATCATCAAACTGTTTAACAACACTTTGTAACTACTAGGAACAGAACAACTTTGTTTATAGTTTAGTTTTAAGCAAGTCTTAAGACTAAAGATCAAATTTTTTTTCTTGGTTTAGGTCTACCAACTGGTGGTTACCGATTCAGACCCTTAACCATCAAAAACCAAAATATTCTCTTCACCAAGATAAAAACAACCACCCCCACAATACCAATTTTCTGTTCTTAGTACAAACCAACAAAAATTATTAAAGAAAAATAGAAGCTTCTAGGGAGAGTTTTTGAGCTGACCCCACTTAAGAAAGTTTGGTATTATTGAAAAGGAATATATTATTATTATTTTCTGCTTTTTGTTTTTCATGAAATTTCTGGATTGGAAGGTTGGAGTTGATTATTCTTTGCTTTTTCTTGTTTTTCATTATTTTTTGTTTGTTGAATATTTTTTTGGTTGGTGTCATTGTTCAATGATAAGGAGGGGTTGGTATGCTTAGGATCTTTAGGATCAGTTTTTGTCTCCATATTGGGAAGCTTTGGTTTTGAGCCAATTAGGAGTTGTGCTTTCAATCACTCTCTTTGCTTCTCTCTTTTTCTCTTCTGTGCAGTGTGCTCCCTTAGTTGAAAGCACAAAGACAAGTTCGTTTCTTTCCAGGTAAATTTAATTCTACTTTTGTTTGCCCTATCCTTTTCATTTCTATATTTTATTACTTGTTCAATTAAGTAATATTTTCATTCATAAAGTTTTGTTCTTGGTTATGTTATGATGGATTCTGATGTTCTTAGTTTTTAATATGGTGGAATTCCTATACCTACTGATGTTGTAGTGGTGTTTGGTCATTTCATTTTCTACTTCTTTATGAGAATTTGAAGGGGAGTCTTGGCGCAAACTGGTAAAGTTGCTGCCATCTGACTAGGAGGTCACGGCTTCGAGCCGTGGAAAACAGCCTCTTGCAGAAATGTAGGGTAAGGCTGAGTACAATAGAACCTTGTGGTCTGGCACTTCCCCGGACCCCTCGCATACCGGGAGCTTAGTGTACCGGATTTCTTTATGAGAATTTGATGGAAAGAAAAGTTTGATGTTGATTCTGATATCAAGTAGTAGTTCAAAATGGTCATTTGATGATATTGCTTCTTTGAATTTGGCTTTCTTTCTATGTGGAACATGTTTGATGAATTCTGTTTTCTTCTTCATTGACAGCTCCCAAAAGAATTTCTTCCAACACTTTGCTAATGATTTGTAGTTCGATCGAGTCACTTGAGCAGGAGGTTGTGATTCTTGAGACATTATAGGGATACATATAATGTCTGCTTACTATTCAAATTTGTCCAATCAAAGAGAGGTTTTGCCAATGTCCTTTTTGCCAGACCAGAAATTTGATTCTTATCACTCAGCTGGTCTTTCTGATAGTTCGATTCATTTAAACCAGCATTCTTCTACGGTTTCATACTCGGAATTGCCTGCTCAGAACTATGGTGAAGTTCAAACAATAAGAGGCAAAGATGAGATGCTGTTCATTCCACCAACCAGTGAATCGGGAGGTATGCAACCAATTGGTAGGTCAGTGAATGCTTCACCCAACTTTTTGGATAATTCAGTTATGATGGATCCTCGTTCGTTTCCAACGAAACAGTTTTTTGTGCCCAACGTTGAACAAAGCCTTCAAAATCAAGGACTATCTCTTAGTTTGGGTACGCAAGTTCCACCTTCGCTTCATGTGTATTCGTATCAAGATGACTATACGAATTCGAGTCTATCTTCTTTGGTGGGTACTCATGTTTTGCACTCAGAGCAGGGATCTGAAAACAAGGAATCTAAAGTTGCCGAGTACTTGTCATTTGACTTATCTAGAGGAACTAGAGCTGCAAATAATCCCCAAAACTCCATGAGCCTCAGAGATATGAATTCTGGTGCACGTTCCATTTACAACTCGAAATATCTAAAGGCTGCTCAAGATTTGCTTGATGAAGTAGTTAATGTTCAGGAAGCACTGAAACAATCAGATAGACTACGTAACTTCAATTTGCTCGGGCAAAATCGTTTTGAAGAGGCTGATCTCAAATCTAGTTGTTCAGCTTCTGGTATATCTGGTGATCATAATAATTCAACTAAAGGTGAACTTTCACCTGCTGACCGACATGATCTCGAGAGCAAGATGACAAAACTCTTTTCCATGTTGGATGAGGTAAATCTGGACTTCTCCTGACTCATCTTGAGGGATAGTTTTGGCTAAGAGGGGATGCATTTGTTGCTTGTAATGTCTTTAGATATTGCTAAGACTTAATGTTTTCAGCATTGTTTTCCAACATGCTGACTCTGACTAGGCTGAAACTCTTTTCCTTATCTAGTAGGAGTAGTATGTAATATCTCCAAGGGATCCATATCCAAGGTGATTTCAGTTTGTATTTAGTTGTGACATGATCTGTGCAAATTACACTGCCTAGGGAAAGTGAACTAGGAATCTGCTTGCGCTCTAGGCCAGAACAAGTTATTAGATTTTCATTCTTAGTGACAACTGAGGTTCTACATTTTTTTCCTTTGTATTCCTCACCTATAAAACTTTTAACATCCGATTGATTTCACAATTAGGATGTTCCTCTAATCTTCCTTTGGTCCTCCTAAATATTCATAAAGCGTTTGCATTCTATGAGACTTTGCAGAAGATTTTAGTTGGATCTTATGTTGCCAAGTACTTCGCTGAAAAATTGTTGTTCTTTGACAGATGTTGAACATAGAGCACTTCTAAAGTCATTGCTTTTGTGCTCTGCAAATCCTTTTTTACTTGAAATAATTCTACTGGCATTAGTTTTTAGGAGAATTAAAACTCCGAAATGATGGTTCTTTTGTTAAGAGGATTTGTTTTCTGTAATTTTACTTCAACTGGGAGAAATTTGTTGAGAACTTGAATTTTTTCTATCCCATTCTTGAAATCATACACAGGTTTTGTTTCAAAGTCTCCCTTTGTTGTGCTACTCAAATGCTTGTTATGCCAATTCTTAGCAGATTCTTAAACTAATTCTTGAAATCTATCTTTTTATATGCTATTAACAGATTACATGTAAAAGTTATCTAAAAGCTTTCTTGTGAATTTTGATTTTATTTTTGTTGTAGGTGGATAGGAAATACAAAGAATATTACCAGCAGATGCAAGCAGTGGTATCTTCATTTGAGATGGTTGCTGGACTTGGTGCAGCTAAACCATACACATCACTTGCCCTTAAAACCATATCTCGCCAGTTTCGCTGCTTGAGGGATGCAATCAAGAAGCAGATTCAAGTTACTCGTCGAAGCTTGGGAGAGCAAGGTGATAGTCAAGGGGAAAGATTATATCGTCTCCGTTACGTGGACCAGCAACTGAGGCAGCAAAGGTCCCTTCAGCAATTTGGTATGATGCGCCAGCCTTGGAGGCCACAAAGGGGCTTGCCGGAGACTGCTGTTTCAGTCCTTCGTGCTTGGCTTTTCGAACATTTCCTCCATCCGTATGTTTCTCTCACTCTTCTCTTTTTCCTGTGACCTTTGTGCTATGTACTCTCTAACCAGTTAACATGCATTCTGATTCATTTTGGTCGTCGTGTTTCTTCAGCTACCCAAAAGATTCTGAGAAAATCATGCTGGCAAGACAGACAGGTTTAACAAGAAGTCAGGTATGCTAATCCATGGCTATTCCGCTTTAAAGCATAAAAATCTTAGCACCCTTCTTTTTTTTATGGAATCAAGTGAATTAACTTAGTCTTACTCTTTTCCACTTACACACTATACGAAACCTGGGACAACCTTTAGCCTTCTAGCTTATCTCTTATTTGTTAGTTCTGTGTTAAATTTAGCATTAGTATCAGAAGACATTGTGGTGCTTAGGCCATGGCCAGCTATCTAACCAACAAAACTCGTGCTTGAGTTAGGTGGCGAACTGGTTCATAAATGCTCGGGTGCGCCTCTGGAAGCCCATGATTGAAGATATGTACAAGGAAGAGTTTGGTGAGGCGGAAGCAGGATCCGGAGCTTCACCAGACCGTGCTCCAGAAGAGTCCAAAGAAAAGTCAATAGCTGAGAACACAGGAGAAGAGATTCCTGAAAGCTTTACTACACCAGCTGTTAATTGCAGTCATCTCGACCCCTCTGACGAGTCAAGTAATGTTGTTACCAATGTACAAAATAATTCATTCATAACCAAATTTAGTTTTCAAGACGGTGCTTATGAACATGAGAAAATTGATGCTGTCAATACATACCACGCCTCCATGTTAGGTGATATAATGGGGAATCAAGTATCACTCGCTCTACGTCTACAAAACAGTCAAATTGATCAGCAGCCAATATCTGGTAGGACACAGTTAGCAGAAGATGACAAGACAGGATCGACTCTGGACATTAGCAAAGGAGAATATTATTACATCGACCCAGTAAACCAGCAAGAGAGGTTTTCAGGGCCTCATCTGCTATCCGATTTTGTAGCATAATGGTTTCTTGCACATATTGGTTATAAGACCTTTTTTGCCACTTATTGTATCATTGAGAATTTGGGTTACCAAATATGTGAATATACCAATGGATAATCCGTCTGTATAAAGGAGATTGTGAATAGTTTAGACTTAGAATCCTCAGGTGATATACATATATGTAATTTTGTGCTTGAATATGAGAATAAAGGTCGCATAGAATTTGAAATGGTAAGTTTCTCTTCCACCATTTTACAGCTAGTTTGTGGAACCTTTATAATATTCTAAGATACCAATGATTTTCCTTTAGGGTTGGTTAATGTCTTGCTCTGGGACATAGAGGATATGCCTGAAGGATTCCTAAAGCTAGCTACAGATGAAAATATGGCAAAAGCACTAGACTTGGATGTGAACATAGTTTATGGCATTGGGTACCTTCTTCATCATTCTTTAGTTTAATTGGATGTGCGGGCACACTAAGATGGATAAGATTATGAATGAAGATATTCGGGAGAAGCTGCGCTTCGCCCCCATGGATGACAAGCTGCGGGAAGCAAGACTCAGATGATTCGGGCATGTTCAGAGGAGAAGCCTAGTTGCGCCGGTGAGAAGGTGTGAGTGGCTGGCTTTGGTGGGCATGAGGAGAGGTAGAGGGCGACCTAAGAAGTATTGGGGGAGAGGTGATCAGGCAGGACATGGCGAGATTTCAGATTACCGAGGACATGGCTCTAGACAGGAAGTTGTGGAGATCGAGCATTAAGGTTGTAGGTTAGAAGGTAGTTGGGAATATCTATACGGCGCTCCAAAGTGAGGCTAGTCTGTTAGGAGTTGGTCTTAGAATGTTAGTGGTTAATGTTGAGTTCACACTACTCTTTCGTTCCTCTTAGTGCTGTGCTTTATCTACTGGTTATTGTTTTGCTTTTCACTTATTTTTTGGTTCTAGTAATGCTGTTCTTTGTTCTATGGTTTCTATTGATGGTACTGATATATTGCCTCTTTTCGTCTTCTTTTTGTCTTCTTAAGCCGAGGGTCTTTCGAAAACAGCCTCTCTACCCTCTCTTGGTAGGGGTAAGGTCTGTGTACACACTACCCTCCCCAGACCCCACTAGTGGGGTTTCACTAGGTTGTTGTTGTTGTTGTTGTATTCTTTTGTTTAACTGTCTGTGGTTATTGAAGGGGAGCCTTGGAGCAACGATAAAGTTGTCTCCGTGTGACCTATAGGTCACGGGCTCGAGCCGTGGAATAAGCCACTAATGCTTGCATCGGCTGGCTACATCACATCCCCTTGGAATGCGGCCTTTTTTCCTCGGACCCAGCGTGGACGCGGGATGGTTTGTGCACTGTGCTACCCTTTTTTTTGTCAATGGTTATGGTGCATGACATAAAAAAGTAATCCAATGTTCTCTGTATATAAATATATTATGGATGCATAATGCATTATGGATGTTAATTTGCAGCTGTTACTAAGCTAGTTGTACACTACAACCTATCCACAACCAACATATGATTCACATATCTTTTTTCTTTTCTGGATGGGGGTGGGGAGGGAGAGGTTCGTATCAAGACATCAACTACATCAGAGTTCTCTAGCAAGGGTGAAATGGACAAGAGACAATCTTCCTCGTGATCAATTCAAAGTGCTTCTCGTAGATCAAATACAGATCATCCTTCATTCAAGAAACACGCTGCTTCACCTCTCGAATTAAGTTGAGCAACTTAGGACACAAGATTTAAGAGATACTTGGAATTGCATTCGAGCATTCATCAACAAAATAATTTTTTCTCATATTTATTTATTATATTCAGACATTGTTAAAAGGGTGTGGTTGAACACTCAGTTTGTCTAGGTTTTGATGATTCATAAATGATAGAAGCATGAGCTCTGAGTTTAAGATTGACAATCTTTACTGCTCAGAATACTGTAACATTTGATTTCTATTCTGTACACTAGTCTGTGTAGTGTGGAGAAGGACAATGAAGCATTCATTTTGTGCTATAGAGTTTTGTGTCTCTTTTCTTTCTAGTGTAACTTGCAATTATGATTCAAAGGGGTAAAAAGTGAATTATCTTTTGATTGATGTTAAAAGCAGAACTTTCTCTGCTGATAAATTCATTCAGATATTCAGATTTGTGCAGGCACTTTAATCAGTGAGTGGGCCTTAGTTTAATATTTGTAGCAACCAACAGAAACTATGGAATAGGAAAGTGACAACTGTAAGGGGGCAATAGAACAAAGATAGTAATCATTATTATACCAGGCATCACAACTAGCTAAACTTCTTCTTCACCCACAACTCTTCAATCACTTAAGTATACCCCAACTCTGCCCCTTACCATGCGTTAAACACCAGCCTTCTTTATTGCTATGTTGCTCCATATCTCCGTAGGCTGGGTTATAACACACGAAAATATTACATTCGGGCGAAATGAATTTAGACGTTAAGGGTACTAAGTTGAAACTGTTCTTAAGCCGAAGGTCTATCGGAAATAGTCTTTCCATCTTCATAAGGTAAAAGTAAAGCCTCTCTTCCGCAGACCGCACTCGTGGAATTCCACTACGTTATTTTGTTTGTTTGTTTGTTGTTGAAGTACTACGTTGAAAAATTAAAAGCTTAAATATTAGAACAATATTTGGTTGAAGTCAAAAAAATAAGTATTTGAAATTGGAGTTGAAACTAATTGAAGGTCGAAATTGTGTTTGGACATAAATGTATATCCAACTCTATTTATATAACAGATTCCACCGAAGGCAAAGGCATGTTAAAAGAAAATACTAAAATGTCACAGCTGGGAGTCGTCTATGACCTAAAGTATACATAAAACCCGTTTATAAAAAAATATTTGCCACTTGTTAAAATATTTTTTTTGGGAGGGGGGGGGGGGGGTGGATTAAATAGTAAATATATGTACATTAATTTTTTTACTTATATACACAATAATTTTTTGTTAAAGAAAAACAGGATTAAATTAATCACCCTTGAGCCTGTATGGCTCACTTTGAAGCACTGATTATATTGAACTTGAGACTAGGGCTGCTTATCGGACGGATTAGGCGATTATTTACTCTTAACGGTTTGGCTTATCGGTTATCGGCTTTTAAATGTATTAATCCGCTAGCTACCCGATAAGATATCGGGCGGATTGGTATCGGTTTAGCTCTTATCGCGCGGTTATCGGGCGGTTTATCGGCTTAATTCAATCTATATTGCGTGCATTAATTGTTTGCTGAGCGGTGACTCAAAATAGAAAATTGAGAAAAGAAAAAGGAGAAATTAGAGTAGCAGCTTTCCAATTTTAAGTATTAAAATAGCCGTCAATATGAATTCTCCAAACTCCCAGCTCAGAATAATTCAGTTACTCTATCATCATCTTGATTACACCTCACAATCACATATGATATATACGCCTTTTTCTTTTAACTTTCATCACTAATATTCTTCGAGAAAGAAGTTAAGACGTTGTACTAGTGAATAAGCATTAGAATACTGACATCAGCAACAACGAATTAACGATATGAGATCTTTTCTGTAGTAATATATATATATATATATATATATATATATATATATATATATATATATATATATATATATATATATATATTCTTAACGGGTTAACGGATTATCCGTTAAGAAAATTGAATAATCCGCCCCCAAACCGATAAGCCGTTAATAAAAAAAGTTCAATCCGTTCGCCGTCCGTTAAACCGTTAACCCGATACCAATAAGTCATTAAGCTTCGATTTCGGTTTCGGTTTGGTTTTAAACACCCTTGCTTGAGACTCATGGTTGGATTTGCTATTGTCACCACCTATCCTCCACCCTTATGAAAAAGAAGAAAAAAGAAGGAAAAAAAAAAAGAAACAGAAAGTAAAAAACACGCATTGGTTAAATAGACACACTTTTCATTGGAAGGATTCTGCATGCAGTGTCCTTTCAACATCTCTATGTAAGAAAACAACAGCAAACAGGAAAAAGAGGTTAGATATTCCAATATATATTTCACAGATTCACAAGCAGACAATCTTAAGACTGGGAGTGTGTAAAAGACAGCCTACTTTTTCCTTCTCTTTTTCTCTATATATATGACAGAAATCTATTCAGCACAAAACTGCTAAATCATACATATATATTTACATTTGTTCCTTTCTAATCTACCCCTTACCCCTCTGTATTTGTGTACCAAAGAACAAAGAAAGAGAAGTCTGAAGTTGCTTTTTGAGTGTCCCAAAGAAATGCAACAGTATGCACCTAAGCTGAAGAGTTAAATACTTTTGCTTGTTTTTTAACTAGCCAAGGCAAAAAAGAAGAAGAGGGGGACCATAAATTTCATGTCATTTTCAGCATTTTCTGTTTGGCTACTTATATACTTTTTCTTGTTTTAAATGAAACTTGAAAGATGTCTATAGTACTTTAGGTTCTATAGCTTTCAGCTGCTAGTGTGTATAGGGTATGCTATACTTCAGAAACTGAGAAAGAGAGTGCATGCAGAGGAATCTTTACTTTCTTCATTCAATTCAATGTAGTTTTCCTAAATCCTAAGCATTTGCATGTTTTCATTCATAAACTATGATGTTTTTCTTTGTAGACCAATAACTTCCTTAGTTTATGTTTATTGCTATCAGGGGGCTGAAAGTATCTATGGTAAGGCCGCGTAGAATAGATTTTTATGACCCGATTCTTCCCCAGACCCCGTGTACACCGGACTGTCCTTTTTACTATCAGGAGCTAAAAAAAAGGGTTTTTTTTTTAACTTTTTGCCCGCACCAGAAACTATTTACATTCGGTAGCTAAAAAGTGTATAAAAGTTGTATAATTTTTGTATATATCATGAATATATATATATATTTTTTTTTCGGCTATTATTTTGAGAACGGCTATACAATGTAATTTTCCCATAAATTAACAAAGTACTCCTATTTAAATGACTTTGTCATACTATTAATTCTCTCTCTTTGCCCCTCCTTTCCATATCATAATATCCCCATTGGTTCTTTTTTATGTGTTGAGGATTTTAGTGATCACATTTCGTAAGTATTAAAAGAGTCAATTTTTTCATGAAATCTTTGTGATCTTTTCTTCTTTCCAATGCTTAGATTCGTAGTTTTCAACATTTCTTGATCAGTCATTTCTGAACTCTATAGCACAAAATGGTTTCAACAGATTCACCCCCACCTACACACTCAAGCATCTTACACCAATTCATAAACTCAGACTCCATTACTAGTCAAATTGGAAGTCAACATTTTGACATTTATCAATCTGGTTTAAGTGCTAATACTACTACTTATCAGCCTCCTGGTGTATTATCTAGATCCATAGAATTTGTTAATCCTACTCATTTTACAACTGATTCTGATGTTAACAACAGTAGACATTTAATGGATCTACTTGGAGCTTCACATGATGCTAATCAACAAGCTCAAAGACTCTCACTTTCTTTAAGTTCTCATTCACTTGTTTCTTCATTGAACTGTAGAGAAAGAGCCTTAAGTTCAAGTTTTACTAATCCTAGTTATATAAGTCAAGAAATTGATCACAGGAACAATGAGTTTTCTTTCTCTGCAGCTGCAATGAACCAATCATTTTCCAATGTTTGTGGAACTGAATCCTTTGTTTCTGCCATTGGAAACTCTAAATATTTGAAACCAGCTCAATCCCTCTTGGAAGAATTGGTTTGTGCTGGTGGCAAGACTACTGATTTGAGTAATGAGAAATTTATCAGGAGATTATCGCGCAATAGCAAGAAAGGATCGTTAAGCCTTCGCGCCATGCTGAAAGCAGAGATTCCTAGCAATGAATTGTTCAATGAAAGGCATGAACTTTATGTTAAAATCATGAAGCTCATTACCTTGTTGGAGGAGGTAAGCAATAATAATTTCTTCATTCTTGATTATTCCAAGGAAATTAGCCGTTAAATTGTGTAAATATTTCGTCTAAAAACTTAAACTGTTAGAGATGACACAATTGTATTTACATGAAAATTCTTCTTGATAAATGGATGACACTTAACCTACTTTGGTATCATGTCAAATTGTGTCATCATTTTGTTCGAAAGCTCAAGTTGTTACTACTGACACACTTTTATGTACTTAATTATATCTTGAACGTGGCATCCATGTTTTGATTGAAATTCTTTGGCTTATAAGATTACTGCTGGATTTATAGGTGGAAAGAAGATATGAGCAATATTATCGACATATGGATGAAATTACTTCCACATTTGAGGTGATAGCAGGATTTGGAGCAGGGAAACCTTACACAGCACTTGCACTTCAAGCCATGTCTAGACATTTTTCCTGTTTAAGAGATGCAATCATATCTCAAATTTATGTGATTAGACAAAAAATGCCACGAGACGTGCCAAAAATTAGCAGTGGTCTGTCACACTTGAGCCTATTTGAGAAAGAGACTCTTCAGAACAGAATGTCTCTTCAACAACTTGGAATTATCCAAAGTAATCGACAAGCTTGGAGACCAATTCGAGGATTGCCAGAGACATCGGTAGCAATTCTTCGTTCTTGGCTATTCGAACACTTCCTACATCCGTATGTGCTATTAAACTTTTATTTACTTAATTATGTCTGCAACATTTATAGCGCCTTTATTCGATTAAATGATTACTGAAATTGGTATTCTATTTGCAGTTATCCAAATGATTCTGAAAAGCTTATGTTAGCATCTCAGACAGGCTTATCAAAAAATCAGGTAAATTTTCTCTTTGCCACTTTGTGAACATATATTTGAATTATTCTAAATTAACTTGGTTTCTTGTGATGTGTTTTAAGGTTTCAAACTGGTTTATTAATGCTCGAGTTAGACTGTGGAAACCCATGATTGAGGAAATGTATAAGGAAGAATTTGCAGAATCTTCAGTGGATTCAGATCCATTTTTAAACAGAGAAGGTGTTACAGATTCAGCAGAGGAATGAAGTAAGATATTTTCTGCAAACATCTCCTTAACTAATTGTAGTTTTTTTCTTGTAATCTTAGGGTTGAAGAGAGTAAAATGATGTTATATTTTATGTAATAATACTATGTTTTTACAGTTAGAATTTGTTGAGGATTTGACTGTGGAAAAAAGCTGAAGAAGTACAAGGTGGCAAGCAGAAACATATTAGAAAAGACAAAATCTAGCCTGAATAGGTGGCATTTCTTGTACCTAGTACTTGGTGTTACAAAATACTAGTGTAATATAGAGTCTGAAAATTGTAATGCTTTTACGAAATGTCTGAAATTCTATGTTTAGCATAGCCTTTGGGTTTGAGAATTGAGGGAGTAGCCCTATTCCCACGTTAAAAGTTAAAAGCATTGCATGCATTGTTAACAAATTCACGAACATTGGTAGGAAAAAAGGCTAGTTAAAAGATAATATTTTAACAAAAATAATGGGATTATAAAAAAACACTATAGCATTCTCTCATGGCGAGACATAAAACTAACTGATGTAAATTAGTCCCTCTTCAGTGTACAAACTACGAAAGAATTCGCACATATGCATTAACTGAACCTTTTTTTTTTTTTTTTGAAAGTTGTATAAATGGCATCATCTTTTGTTATTTTAAACAGTAAAAGATTTAACCATATCTTGCTGAATTTTGAAGTTTGAACTAACAAGACATCACCAATAAAAGGTTTTAGAGGACAGGAAACATGCACGAAGCACCATCAAAAGAATATATATGATGAATGTACTAAATCGAGCACTCCATTTACTTGTTTCTCCAAATGGAAGGGTTAGATAAGAAAAAGAAATACTTCACGGATAAGCAAATACTTATTCCATCTAACAAGAAAGAGAGAGAGGAAAGAAAAAGGAATTTTTAACAAATATCTGGCTATATTCACTGTTTATTAATATCTTATTAATTATTAATAACAATGTTTACCCTCAAAATCGGATGACAATTGAATTTATAGGTGGTTTTAAGGATATGCGGATTAATTTGAAACAAAGCGATAAATATAGATAAACGGACAATAATAAAGTAAATTCAAACACTTGAACAATTATAACCTTGAAAAGTAAGTCTCACTTGAACTGGATGTAATTCAAATGATATCAGATGCAGAAGAACAATAGCTTGCAGGAAGAAAATTATATTATAATACTTTGGGATGCGTGTTACAAGAAGAAAATTATATTATAATACTTTGGGATGCGTGTTACAACGTCTCGTCAGTCACGTCTTAATGACATTAAATGTTCGTCAGTTGCTGGTCGGCCGCAACAGGTTTTGAACCGTCGTTTGAAAACTATAAATATTTCCCCTTCATTCATTCAAACTTTACATCCAATTTTTTCCTACTCTTGTTCTTAAAAAATCTTTACATTTTCTAGTACTTGTACCTAGATTTCTTGAGAATTTTGTAAGAATCCTCGCTTGTTTTCACTCCACATCGTCAAGTGTACCCTTTTCACTTATTCTTCTTCATCTTTTACCCTTTATTTGAAAAGAAAATGGCGAAGACTTCTAAGGCAGTTCCTCAAAAAGAATCTGCTTCTTCATCACGGTCGGCCGGCGAGGAACTAGTGGCGGAACCTCCTCTTGAAGCGTTTATTCCTGGCGGGTGCTCGGTGACCGCCGACTTTAAAGTTGAAAAACCTTCATCCGTTCCGGGCCGGGATGAAAAGGTATCGAGATATAATTACTCGATCATCGAAGAAACCCTCCCTACAGTCATAAAAGACTGCAATTGGGCCGGAAAAGTCGTTGTGGTCCCCGACCCCGAAGAAGATATCATTACCCACGTTAAAGGATACTTAAGTGTTTACACTTATCCTTTTACGTTGGGTCCGTTTGACCTGGTGATCATCCAATTCTGTAAAAGCTACGAGGTGTGCCTCGGTCAGATCCACCCCTCGTTCTGGAGGATAGTCATTCTTATCCGATTCTTCGTAAGCAAGATTGACGGATGCCCATTCACCGTTGACCATCTGATGCGCCTGTACAGTCCCCGATTCTTCCGGGGGGAGGGGGGACTGATTAAACTTGCACGTCGAGCCTCTAAACCCCGGTTCTCGAGCATCGATGCATATCGAGACCGAGGTTGGCTAGGCCGATTTGTTCGAGTGAGGACCTCAGACCTGATCTCGGCCAAGGACATGTTGTTCCCCGAGGAGTGGAACACAAAACGTAAGTAAAGTTCCATTTTTCCCAGAATTTTATTTTTACTGTCCTTTTCTCCTTTCTTATCGATGTTCGGTGTCAATGCAGATGTTGCCCGAGTTTTGATGCGATTCCTCGACTCAAGGAATGTGTTAAGGGCATTGTCTCAAAGAAAACATATTTCGAGCGCGCATGGCGCGAACTATCGAAGGGCCGGTGGTAGGACCGTTCTCACGGTGAGATTACTTTCTCGAGTGAGCAACACTTGGGTCCCTTTTATGCTGTTGAGTTCTTACTTATTTCTTTTTTCTTTGTAGGTCTTCCCAAGGATGTCTCCATGAGGCCTCCATCTGGTGACGGGGATAGCCCCATCGAGTCCCCTGCTCCAAGGCGGGAGAAGAAAAAGAGAAAGGCTCCGAGTTCTCCGAATTCGGAGAAGAAAAAACCGAAAAGGAGGCTGGTGCACAAATCCAAGGAAAGCATCAGTGCCCGAGAGCTCCCATCGAACTCAATCCACCGACTGAGGGATGAGTCCGAAAAAGAAGAAGAAAATTCTGAACTGGTGGCCCACGTGCGAGGCAACATCGTATTGCCTCAAACCAGGGGGGGCGGTTGATGAGGCAGTGGTTGAGGCCTCCGAACCAGAGAGGGGCGAAGCTGTTTTTCTCCAAGTTAGGGAGGCCAACACAAAGACTGCAACTGGTGCTTCTCGAGCAGAGGATAATGTCCCAAAGGATGGACTTGGGGTGATAGACCTCTCCGAGTCGCCTTTGTTTACCGACTCAATGATCCACGATGCCCAAGTGCTAAAAGGATGCCCAGATGAGGGGCCCCAAGGGGTGGTAGACTCCTTCCAAAACTTCTTTGAGGGTTTAGACTCTACCCCTTCGGAAGACGTCATCGGGTTGGGTGACTTACTGATACCAAAGAAGAGTCCGTCTTCGGGGTCCAGCGGGTCTTCTTCGAGCCCGAAACTAGTAAAATGGTTCCCAGCTCCAAGTGTAGATCCTGACCGGAAGCGGTCGATTATTATGTCTATCCTAGAGGATGCCCGGGTCCTCTCTGCCCCCGCAAGGGTTTCAAGTTATCTTCGGTACCTGGTGATCAAAGAGGATCAAGCAAAGATGAATGAGATGGACGCCGCCTGCCTGTTCAACGAAGCCCAGCAGGCGTTAAATCGGGTAATAAGTCATAAAAATTTGTAACTCTTTCCTTTGTGTTTTTAGGCCTCGGTGCTCCATCACCAGACTTTTATCCGATATCGAGAAGAGTTCACCCAACATGAGGACAAGACCCAAGGGCGCATCAAGAAGAGGGATGCTTACAAACTTCTCAGTGAGCAACGTGAGGGGGAGGTCATGAAACTCCAAGCTGAGTTAGAGGCGGCTCGGAAGGAGCATGCCAACCTGGTCAAGCAGGTAAGGAGAGTATTTGAAGTTAGTGACGATAAGTCAGATACGGTGGCCAATGGTCCAAACCCGCAGGTCCAACAAAAGCTTGACCAAATTGGACAGCTCCGGGCAGAGGTAGATGCAGTAAAGGCCGAGGCCGAAGAATGGAAAAAGAACATGGACCGTTTGACTTCAGAAAAGGAGACCGCTCGAGCCAACTAGCTTCGGCTGAGGTCCAGCTCCGAGGTATAAAAAAGGAGAAGTCCTTAGTGCATGCCAAGAAAATAGAGGAACTCCAGTCCAAGTTGAATTCGGTCATCTCTGATCGAGAAAATCTGGCCAAGGATCTCGAAACGGTCAAGCCGGAGGCCAAGGTAATTAAAGCTGATGCCGAGGAGATGGTGGCCGTTTATAAGGCTGATGCTGAGGCGGCTCAAGTTCGGGCAAAGGACATCATAGATGCTAAGTGGCAATCTCGAAAGGAGGCCCTTGAGGAAATTCATGCTCGGAATTTCGATTTATCGACGGAGATCGAGAGTGCAAAAGAGCTCGAAGCCGAGGCAAAAAAACCGGCATATCCCGAAGACTTCGAGGGGCCCAAAGACTTGGGAGAGTCCGAGGATGGCGAAGATCCCAAGGGTGACGATGTTACCCCCGACGAAGACTAGGCCACTTAGGCCTTTAGATGTTTTTGTTTTTTGTATTTTTGTTGAGTCCATTCGGCCTTTGTAAAAATTTTCATCGACCTGTTTGGCCCTTGTAAAAAGAATTTTTGATTATGAATATAAGGCTTTTCCCTTCAACAGCTTTCGATTTTTCACTTTGCCTTATGTACTTTTATTTGCAAATATCTAAATGCCTTAGCATGAAATAGTTAGGTTTTGTTCAGAAACTCGCAGAAACCTTGCCTTCAACTTTATTTCGTTTTAAGGCATCGTGGGGTTCGGTGTGACCGAAGGTTTTCTTTCCCCCAAGTACTTAGTGTCGACGCCCCCTTTTTCTCGCGAAATCGGGTTTACGACATTTGGGAAGACAACTCTATTCCCGTTTGGGAATTGGGTTTTTGGATTTGAAGAGTCGCCACCTAATGATTAAGTGCATTAGGACACTAAGGGTTTTTGAGTTGGAAAACCAGAGTTCGGGTAAGGGCTAGAAATTATCTCAAGGGGAAGGTGTTAGGCACCCCTCAAGATCCACTAGTGTGGTTCCCGGCCATGCTATGTTGTGACTTTAATGAAAATAGATACACAAAGGATTTTACACATAAGGGTTGCAAATAGATACGTGACAAGTATGTGGGATCAAGGTCTAGATGATCTACAATTTGTTTAAAGGGGGGACTAAACGTAGGAAATTAATCAATACATTGAATAAACAAAGAAGAAAAATTTGGAAGAAAAGGAACAATGCAGTAAAATTAAGGAGGAGTTTTGAGTGGTTGAAAAGACAGGATTTTGTTGATATTTAACAAAGTTGTATAAGGAAAGGGGTCCTAGGTTTATAAATCACATGGATCATCCACACAACACCGGTAATCAATCGTACGCGTAGTGTTATCGTGTGATCATCATCTCCATGTCTACCCTTCCCACCCCGTTAAGGTATTAAGCGCGAAATAGTCTCGTTTACTTATTGCATGCTATTACCCGTCCCACCTATCAGTCCTGGAGGCTTCTAGGACTACTAATCCTAAAGGGAGG